TTCATTTGAACTGTTTACTTTTTCTTGTATTTTTGTACTTATAGATTATATAAGCCTAGAGGTAAAATTAGACCTTTTAAAAGCATCTATATCTTTTTTTTTAAAAAATGCTTTAATATTTGCAACTGATAATTCATACTACTGAGAAAGATTATGAGGAAGAGCTGTGTTGGACTTAATATTAAACCAATTATCCTTAAACTTAGTAATCATATCAATAACAATAAAATAATTATTTAAAACAAACAAAACCATTCAGATTGGTAAAACTTTAAGCACTCAAGTTTCCAGTACTACTTTCATCTACTAATACTTTTAAATTCTGAAGAACACTGCAATCTTTTAAAAATCACATTTTAATTATATGATTAAGGAAATAAAACTATATAAGTATTCAAACAAAAATTAGGTCATAATGCAAAAATTGTATTTAAGCTACACTTAAAAAAATAAGAGTGACAAGACAAAATTAACAAAAGAGAGGTGGGAGATAAGTTGGACTGAACTATGATGATTAACAGGACGCATTTGGTGTTTCCTTCCCCACTTAAATTCTATTTGATGAACTAGCAGAATAGTAACTATGTCTATATTATCTATTTATCTACACATCTGTATCTATACCCTCATCGGCTTACCTATATATATTTTCTATGTGTACATCTATGTATATTTCTACATCATATCAATCTATATTACACATATATGTGCACAACTATAAATATACTGGGAAACCTAAAGCATACTCAGAAACTGAGGCATTCCTGAAAGACAGGAAGCAGAGGGACCAGATATTAGGGGAAATCAAAGAGAGAGGAAACAAAAGTAAGAATACATTTTAGCAGGAGAATTTTATGAAACTTAAAATAACCCTGAGGAATTTCTAACTCAGATCAATAGGTCCAAGCTATAGTTGTCACAGCTGTACAAATGAACTTTGATTCAAGCACATAGGACATATGGCTACATTTTCCTTTCTCTTGCTTGTTTGTCAGAATTTACCAGTGACCTTACTTTCTTCACTTTTTCATAGCTGGGAAACCAATCCCAAGTGTTCCCTCACTTAATAATCATATCCTAACTTGATCTTTTTGCTTTCATACCAATAAATAAGATAATGAACATGAAATTTTTTTATAAATTGTCAAGTACAGTGAAAATGTTACTATTATTAACCTCTACCACTGCCTCCATCAACTGCCACCATCATCACCACCATCACTACCATCATCATCACCTACACCTTTTATTCAATTAGCCAGTTCTATCGAGTTTTCTCTTATTGCCTGAGAGTGGAGCTTCTTTAAACTTTGATTGATTCTGACCTTCAGAATTTTGACCTCTGAACTATGTTTACTGCTTGGCCTTAACCTAGGATCAAAGACTCTCAGGTGTGAAAGGAACTCCTACGAGCCACCAACTGCTTCGGCCCTCTGCACATATGCTCCAAACAAATCCAGTTTGATGGCAAAGCGCTCATAATTTCCCAAGGTAGGCTACTCCATCAGTGAACATCTACAGGGATCCGAAAATACCTTGAAGCTCAGGAGACACTGCTTATAACCATCAAAATTCTCTGTACTTTGTTTCTTACCATGAGATTTATGAGCTTGATGAGATCAAACAGGACCAGAGTAGGTTCCACAGGAAAGGGATAAGGAGAATCTAGGGGTCTAGCAACTAGTCACAGTCATGTTTTGGGGAATTAAAATAAATTTTAAGTTTTCTGTGGTTTCCAGTTTAATCAAATGGCAGAAGTCATGCTCTGGCAGGAATACAGTGTGCCTGGAAACTCCTGTAAAAAAACTCTTTGGAAAATAAAGAGTATCCCAGTTGGAAGCCAAATAGATATGGAATTGTTTTGATGAGAGGGAAAGAAATCCCAACACCCAAAGGTTTGATTATCAAGCTATTCCTTAATGTTCACTTTAAAATAATCTCTATTCAGAAGCCAGCATTAATTCGTTCTACTGGGATTATTTTTCAAATCTCTAAGTGTGTTGTTCTCTTTGTTACAGGTCTTATGTTTCTTCTGGGCCCAGATATCTTATATAAACCCTGAAAGCTTTCCCTGTATGAAGGGATTATGAAAGGCTTCCTTCTGTTTTTACATCACTAGGGAATGTTAACAAAGTAATTCCAATTACTGGATGAAAGAGCCTCTTTTTTGCCAGTGATAATGCATTTATTGAGGAGAAGTTCTTAACATGTTTTTGTTTTGTGGATGATTTTGGGGCAGGCATCTATGAATTTTCTGATACCATATGCTAAATTTTGTCTCTAAGTGTGCTTTTCTTGGGAGAATATCCATAACTTTCATCCAATTCTAAAAGAATCTATGTCTCCAAATGTTAAGAATCACTGATTTAGAGAATGAATGTGTTGTGTGAATCTTTAAAATTGAAAATCTCTTATATTTTCCTATTATGAATTCACAATGTATTTGTACATGATAAGGAATATCAATTGTTTTTTGAACCATTAAAAATCATTCACCATTTTCTTTGTTACAGGAGGTCTTATACATTTAAGGGTATTTTCATTGTATCTAGAGAAACTTATTCTGATTTAATTAAATATGCATGTGGTGTTGCCCAGAGCGCTGAATGGAATCAGAGGGTTTTTCTCTGATCCCAGTTTTAGCATCAACTAACATATGACCTTGAGAAAATTCACCTTAACTTTCAGAGCTTTTATTCTCTCATGTGGAGAACATGTTAATGAAAAGATCTGCTTGGTAGTGTCCCTAACACTGCATAATATATTTATGTGCAGATTTCAGCTCAAGATCTTTGGAAGGCCTAGACCTTTCCAGTGAGTGAAGGGCAATCTGTCAAATCTTATCAGGTGCTTATTTGATGAACAGTTGTCAAATACTATTATCTCATGATTTTCCAATTGGTGTGGTTGTTTTTCACTCAGTTTTTCAACAAGTTGAAATAAAATGATTTGTTGTAATATTTTCCCTTAATCTTATTAGACAGTTGCCTGAGAAATTTGATGCCTTGTTTGTCTTAAAGTTTTCCAAAAGTTGCTATGACTGCAGGATAAAGAAAAAGAGAGATATGATAGTATCTTTGGAGCATTTCAGCTTAAACTGGCTGTAAAGTGGCAATACACCATTGTTATTGTGTATTTAACAACTGTTCAACTAGCTTCTGTCAGCTTTACATTCTTAACCACATTCAAACTAGTGGGTATAAAATATGGGGTTTATTATTTTTGAATGTTTTAAAGTGATCTCTCATAATATTTTAGCAAGAGTCAGCATGGTAGAATGCAAACTACGGGCCTATGAAGACAGACCTAGGTTCCAGTCGGACTCTATCTTTAATGGCTTTGTTAACCTTGGACTATTGGTTGGTCTTTCTGACCTTCAATCTTTTTCTTTTTCTTCTGGAAATATAGGAAGCATATAATAAATATTGGTCATTCAAGTGTATCAACCTTGGAATGTTGTGCACTATGAAGATCAGAAAATAGATCCTTTTACAAATATAATATTCAATGGGAAATGTGAAAAATAAAGTGAAGCTCTCCATCTGGGTTTTGTTGCATTATCATGAACAACTTAGCACCATGCCTAGCACAAAAGAAAGCTGTTGAGTTAATTATTATATCATGAGTATCTTGATATAACGATTGACTACAGACTTTTAAAGCCTACTACCTCTATCATTTGGTATATTTGATATGTAGAAAACTGCCCCATCCCTGCAATGACATACAGTTCAGAATGACTGTCTACTCAGGGAGGGGCCAGAGAGAGCTCCATTCAGTGTCATTGCTCTACCCTCCCCACCCTGTAAGACTAAGGCCTCTTCTGTTCCTTGATCAAATCCTGTGCTCACACTACTGCCAACACTGTGTTGTGGTGTCTGCTATTTTATACCCTTATCAATACTTTATAACCATTGCAAATCTGACAGTTATAGAATAGGGATTTATGAATATTTAATAAGCATTATTATCATCTTACTTTTCCAAATCATAAATTGACAAGGCATTTCTTTAGTATAAGTAAGATGAGGCATACTTTACTGACTTTCAGTATTTTCAGGGAACAGGTTATTAATATCATTTTTTTCAATATTTAATTGTCCTTGTGAATTCTTCCATTTGTTTATTTTGATCTGCTCCTTTAGAAACACATCATGCATGATTTAAAGGAGTGGCTGGAAGATGTGGGTCACTGGGGTTGTACCCTGAAAGGGTGCATCTTCCCTGCAGGCCCTTCCTCTTGCTTTCTGAGGTGCACAGTTTTCTTTCTCTATACCCTTCAGCCATGATGCTCCATCTCATCTCAGGCCTAGAGCAATGGAATTGGCTGACCATGGACTGAACCTCTGAGACTGTGAGCCAAAATAAACTTCTCTTCCTTTAAGTTGTTTTTGTCGAGTATTTTGGTCACAGTGATGAAAACCTAACTAACACAAATACTTTACACTCTTCAAAGTGTTCTACAATTCATTTTAAGTAACCTTTGCTTTATGTTTTCTGATTGATAGGTAACAAAACCAAGCCTTAGAGAGTTTAAAGTAATCATATAAAAAAACAACACACAAGACAAATAATATAATAATAATCTACTTTACTGTAGTTATCATATTTCAGGCATTGTGATGAGGATCTTCCATCTAATTTCTCATTTAACCTTTGCTTCAGCCCCAGGAGGTAAATATAGTTCTACTATTACTTTTACTCTCATTTTACAAATGTTCAGAGCAATTTTAACTCAGGTATTCTTAGATCCCTCACATAATTTTTAATTGTTTTATGATACATTCTGCTTCCCAGAACATGTTTATTATGATTATTTCCTTCTTTGTTTTCTTCTCTCACCTCACTACCTTTCTTCTTGTTGTTGTCATTCATTCTGAGGGGAAAAACAAAATAAAAACAAAACCCCCACAATTAAGTGTTGGGTTTGGCAACTCAGGTTTACCTCCAGTAACAGTATTAATTGGAACGAGGGTGAACAAAATCTTCCAACAACTTACTAGATCCAAAGCAGCTGCCAGGATGGATGCATCAGGTATTGTCCCTGGCTCACAGCAGTTTAACAGAAACTGGAAGCGTCTCATGCCTTGTCGGATTGCTCCAAGATTCACCACATTTTTGCTTTTTCCACCATCTTGGTTGGGAGAAAGATGGTCATCAAAACTATGGCAACCTATAGGAGTTGTGCCATTGCAGAGGAATAAAAGATAATGCATCACAGATTTAAAAAGAGCTTTAGAGATGGCCCCAAAAACTTCTCTCCCACTCCTCCTCCCTTCTCTGTACCCCTTAAATGCTTAGTTTCAGTTCATCCTGACTTTTGGGAATCAATGATGCATGGCATCTGAAAATCCAGAGTTTACCTAACTACTTGAATTGTAGGGTCTGATCACTTTGCTGCTGAGCATCTCTAATACTGATAAGAGCTCTTGGTATGTTTTAAATGGTCCTTCCTGTAATAAGCAGCATTTCCCCCATGAAGGTGATGGCAGAGCTGAGAACATAGAAGATGTGCAATGAATTTGTTGTTTGTGTGAAAACAAAACAAAACAAAAAACACAACCAGTTGCTCTAATCAACCAAATATCTTCCCACAAACATAGGCCATTTGATCTCTTAAATAATTTTAGTGAATATGAAGACAAAAGAAGCTCTCTGAATGTCATCTCAATTCTAGCAAATGTTCACCAGACATGTTTTTTATTTGTTGAAAAAAATTTCTTTAGATTTTAAGAAAATTGTGCTCTATATGTGTACTGTGAATGTCATCTCAATCTCTGAATGTCATCTCAATTCTAGTAAATGTTCACCAGACATGTTTTTTATTTGTTGAAAAAAATAACAAAGCAACCTGTTTCAGATATTATTCTTTTGCTTTCTAGACAGGCAGAAAGAAACTGAGAGTTACAGAAAGAAACTGGAGTTACTTGTACTACGAGAGTCCAATAAATAAATCTGAAACAGGTTTCCTTGTTAAGTTATAAACTCCCCCCCTCGGTGGAAGTGTGCAGAGGGTGGCTAGCCACCTGTGAGGGATGTAATTAGAATAAATTTACAATAAAAAAAGAAAATTCTATTGGCAATTTATCTCAACTAAATGAATTTCAAGTACTACATTTAAATTGACGATAAGAATGTTTGACATTTATTTTCTTTAATGGTTTAAAAAAAACAAAACAAAGAAATTATGTGGTTAAAATAATAAATGAGAAAAGGACAATACATCTCAAATGGATGCATAGGGATTGTTTATATGCCTAGATTTGGAAGAAAGGAAGGAAAGAAGGAAGGGAAAAGAGTAGGAAGGAAGGGAGGGAGGGCAGACTCAGAGGGAAAGATGTTCACATGGATAAGATTGTTGAAAAATACAATGTTCTTAGATTAGCAGATAATGTTGTTTTGGTTCATTTGGAACAGCTGGAGTTACTTGTATTAAGAGAGTCCAAAGAAATTATCTCACAGAATATCTTTTTTTAAAAATTTTTAACAAGCCAGAGATCATAGACAAAAAGCAGTGATGTATAAGCTATATTCCTTTGCTAGTCAAAAGCACATAAATTATGCTAGTTTGGAATCTCAGATATTACTCTTTTGCTTTCTAGACAGGCAGAAAGAAACTGTGTTTCAGATATGTACATTTTTACTAGTCATAGGAATCAAGTTTAAGGATAAATATATTTTCAGAAGGTAAGGAAAATTTTCCTAACAATTAAAGTTGTTTAGCTCTGAACAGGTTGCCCTGTTAAGTTATAAATTCCCCCTCAGTGGAAGTGTGCAGAGGGTGGCTGGCCACCTGTCAGGGATGTAATGAGCAGGATTCCCATGTAAGTAGTGTGACGATAAAAGTTCTCTAAGATTTTAATAAGGAATAGAGCAGCAGAAGAATCTCTGTCTTATTCTTCATAAACTCAGTGCCCACAGGGACTGAGGAATGTAGCAAGGCTTCTATAAATGTCTTTTCAACCAAATTGATAGAGAAGCTACACATAGTAGTAAAATACATGTAAAAGAAGCAAATGAATGAAAAGCCATTGGTAATAGAAAATGACCATGTTAAAAAAAAAACAATTTCAAATAAAGAATTTCAGAAGTGAAAATTGAAAAGAAAATGAACCATTTTATTTAAACAAATTTTTTGTTCTATGTGATGAAAGCTGAATGGAATTCTTAGGCTGCATGACATTTACCAAGACGTTTGAAGAAATTATCCTCATCTTCTCTTCCATTTTCCATTCCACTTCCTGGCCCACTTTCTGAAAGCTTTACAGCACTGGTGAATTTGACCTGAGAAGAAAAGGAAAGTAGTCCAACAACCAAATTCATTGGCAAATTTCTGGGTTAAACTAATCCTTGATTTTAAACATCGGTTGTTTAGAATATGAAGGTTGCTTCCTTCTCTGACTTCCATGTCTAGTTTTGTCACTATAGTTTATTGCTATATACCAAAAAAGATATCACCGAAACTGCTTGTCGAAGGGAGATTCCAGGTCAGAGATAAAAAGCTGAATAATTGGGCACCTTGAAAATAACCTGGTAAACACCTCAGATACTCCTAAAATTAAATTCTGATGAAGTGAAAATTCAAATTCATGAACAGTAACACAAATTCATCTTTTACAAACACCACCAGAGTTGAAAATCAGACCAAAGTGAAAAATAGTGAAATAAAATATTTCAAAATTTCAAATAAATTTAAAGAGTTCACTCTAATGAATATGCAATATATTTCTCTTTCTAAGCATTAAAGTCTGTTCTTGATCTTGTCTATAATCTGAGCCCCCAAAATTTTGAGCCTAGAAAGAAAGCTGTGGGACATCCAGACTCTCAAATATTTGGCCATTTTTTTTCTTAGCAAAAATAGTGTAAAATAAGAAATGTAAATGTATTTCCTCAATGTTCTGTAATTTTGCTGTATTCTTTTTATAATTTCAATATATTACTTCTAAAACACTAAATAGGAGAAACAGGTTTTAGTGAGATTTAAAAAAGAAAGAATGTAAGCAAATGATTGGTAAATAAGGAAAGATAACTCATCATATACTGACAAGCAGGTATGCAAGTTTCTTGGACATGAATAATCCACAGGGAAAACTAAAAATCAATTTCACTGAGAGTCATTCCAAGTCAAAAGCTACTATAATGTGCAACAATAGTATGAAGAAACACTTAGTGAGAAAAAGCATCCTGACTATCTTTTGCAACAGAGAGAATGGTCAAGATCTTCCCAAAGGTAGTGTAAGGGGAATGAATGGTGTGCATGTGCAAGTGTATATATTTGATAAGTGCAAGGAATCACTATTGAATTACTGCCTCCCTGGAAATGAACTTGGGACGCCAAAAATTTCACATGTGTTTAAATTTAAAACAGCTGGGAAATGATGCCTATCTACATCTCTATATCTGCATTATCATTTTATATAATTTTTGCTGCACTTTCCCTTTTTTCTCTTCCTAGTATAGTCTTCTACCTAAACATTTAAATTTTTCATTGTTCATTAAAATTTCCAAAATTTATTCAATAGTCCCTTAACTCTTCCTCATTTGGCCCCTCCAGGTGTTTAGCATTTCTTAGCCCTGACATTTTTCTATCATTTTGTGACTCCAATTTTCACTTACACAAGTAACGTCCTGTTTACCTTGGAGCTTTGCCTGATGAAAGACAGGCGGTCCACAGAGCTGATGTCCAGGAGGTCCTCCACACCATCTGCCAGGCCCGAGAGGGAGGATCGTTTCAGCCAGTTTCCTATTTAATAATTTTTTTAAAAAAAATTAGACTGTTATAGCATTCACTCTCAAATGGATTAAGCAGAAATGCCAGCATGTGCTCAACAAGCAATGAAAGTTACATGGCTTTGATATAAATAGAAGCAAAACAAGTTGTTTCCAGTGTGTGTGCTTTGAATCAAAATGTTCAGTATTGGACTATAAAATTACATAAGCAGGCAAGACCAGGACAAAAAGAACCTGGTCCTCTCCAGTGAATGAAATCATAATCCATCCACTTGTCCCTGACAAATTTCACATCTCTCTTTAAAGCCTATTCATTTTACCTCCTAAATACCTCTCCAATCTGCCCACTTCTCTCTGTCCACTTAAAGTAGTCACCCAGCCCAAGTGTCCATTTACTTACACCTAGACTACTAGGCAGCTCTCCATCTGGTCTCTTCTAATGTTCCCTCCAGGATGATTTCCATGCTGTGATCTTTTAGAAAATGTTTATATGCTTGTGTTACTCTCTTGCTCAACAACCCACTTGGGTTATCCAGACTCCAGGATGAAGAGCCAACCTAACCTGCAAGGTGCCATGTTCCCTGGTCCCATTGCGAGGCAGCTATTCTTCCCTTGTTTCGGTTTCTCAATTCCCTTCATCCTATTATTTTTGTACATACTATCACTTCTTCTTTAAGTATTCTATAGATCTTGATGTCACTGCCTCTAGGAAGTCTTCCCTGACTCCTGCCTCCTCTCTTCATTTAGGTCAGGTCTCATTGCTGCAGGCTTTCCTAGTGCCATGTATATTTTCTTCACAAAATTCATAATTGAATCATTATCTGCTTTAGTGACAGTGGCTCTTGTCTGATAGCAAGTTCAGCAGTCAGAGGAATGTGTGTTTTGCTTACTATCTAATTGCTGATACCCAAAATAGTGTTTGCATATAGTATAGGCACATAGTAGGGACTTGAAAAATAACTGCAGAAACCTAAGAGTGATTTGGTGAATGAGTGGATGAAGCAATAAGCCTGGGCCTCGGGAGCTGACACCTTTCCTTTTCTGTACCCCATCATGCACTGCTCTGTTTTGATGGTAAGTTGATTTGATGACACGGTAGGTAACAAGAGAATCCATAAGTAAATACAGACATACTTTTACCTATGGGGAGTTTAAGCTTCTTCCGGAGGGAAATTCTGCGGGACCTTGAGCGGGCGCGCCTGTCCGAGGTGTTCCCTGAGTGGGCAGTGGTGCATTCCGAGGTGTCCTGCTCAGACTGGCTGCTGGTGTCACTTGCTGCACTCTGGGATTTGAACATCTTGCGCCAGAAATCTTTCCGCCCCAGGTTGCCCCCTTGCATTTGTTCATCGCTGTAAGCAAGCAGAGGATAGGGTTAAATGCCTGACAGCGCATGTGAAATTCTCCTAAATTACTTTCAACCTCTTGCTGATGACATTTAGGCAAATTATGCAGAAAGATCTTTGACAGGCTGGGTGTGGGAAGAGTGGGAGTCAGAATGGGAGGAGGCCCAAGGTTGACTCTGAGCTCTTCTTGAAAACAGTCATGTCTCAGCTATCAGGTGGAGGTGGTCATTTTCTTCTAACCTTAATAAAAAAGACTAAATATTATTGCAGGTATTCACCTGCAGTGTGAGTCATAATAGAAGAAGCACTTAAAATGTCAGTAAACATTTAGCTTTTTAAACTCCCTGGGGCTTCTGCAGTATGGTTCCTCACTCCCCAATCCTTACACCTGACACTAGTTGAACTCACAAAATATATTTATATGATTGAGTGAACAAATGAAGAAAGTGTGATCACCATACCCAGGGGATACATCATCCTACTATCAATAAGTCAAAAAGACATAGGTGGAGTTTAAAAGTAAAAAATAAGCCCAACTCAGTAGGACATCTGCAAGGAGATTTTTGATTAGGGCAAGTGGCCAATAATATGCAGAGTTTAATCTCAGCAGGAATAATAATAATAATAATAATAATAATAATAATAATAATAATAAAGCCAGCTGAAATGAAATTTCTATTTTCACTTACCAAATTGGCATAGAATAGGGGTAGGGGAGAGAAAGTTATGGTTACTATCATATACTGCCAGTGGTAAGGTAAGAATGGCTACATATTTCTGGAAGATAACTTGGTAATATGCTTTTCAAAACCTATATCCACACCTTTGACAGAGAAATTCAGTTTCCAGGAAGTAATCCCAAGGAAATAATGGAACAGCTTACTTAGTTGAAGATACACTATTGGTCAACATTTAAAAAGTGGAAACAATATAAATGATTAGCTGTAGAGAAACAGTTGAATAAATTATGAGACTTCCATATTGTGATATTCTCTTTAGTCATTAAAATCTTAATTTAGAAGATTACTGCTATGGGCAATGTATGTGATACCTTGTGAAGTTCAAAGGCAGTTACTGAATGGCTTATCCATGAAAACACCTTCATAATGTAAAATTATGAGTTTGCATTTAAAAAACTAGGACAATGCACTCATTATCATTAAAGTTATTCTTACACGAATTCCTTAATAAATTAACTGAAATTTTTTATTTTCTCCAAAGATTGTTTTTCTAATTATTATAACCACAAAGTGCTTGATTTAAAAATTAATATATCATAACTGATAACTAAAAGCATAAAATTGTAAATAGAAAAAATAACAGGATAATATACATCTGGGTATGAGTTTGTGTGTAAACACACTCAAAAACATACCCAATATAATACACCAAAAATTTCGTTATCTTTATTTGGTGGTATTTTGATTTTAAGTTACTTTTTTTCTTTTTTTAATATTTATTTTTTTAATTATAGGTGGACACAATATTTTATTTTATGTGGTGCTAAGGATCGAACCCAGTGCCTCATGCAAGGCAAGCGCTCTACCTCTGAGCCACAACCTCAACCCTTAAACTACTTTTTCTTGATGCTTTTTTGTGTTTTCCACATCTGTCAGCATAAGCAGCATATATTACTTTAGTAGTTCAGAAAGAAAAGGTTATAGAAAAATTCTAATAACATGATGAAATTTATTTATGGGGTTTTTAATAATTATTTGCTTATAAGCTTTGAGGCTGAGTCCCCAATTAACCTCAACTTTGACAATATTGTAAAGCATTCATTTTCTGGAACTATTTACATGAAAATTCAGATTTTATCTTTCCAAATGTCATCAGCATACTAAATACTTTTAAATTCTTATTCTAAACTCTTATATTCTGTTTATCAAATATGGTATGCATTTAAACTGTTTTTTTAGAATTGGACCTCTTGGCTACTGTTGTATTTTGGGAGGATGGGGGTACAACGATGAGTGTGTCACTACATGGTCTGAGTGGGAGAACATCCAGGGAGGCTGTCATTTTCAACCTTCTCAAGAAAATGCTACATCAGCTTTGTTCAGAAAAATATAGGCACATAAAAATCCACTTTCTGTACTAATCAGTTAATGAGACTATTATTTAAGGAAGAAGAAGATGAGTCTGGACAAGAAGGATTGATAAGAAAAGAGAAACAGAGGATGGAGGAGGAGTCAGGATCATCCAAGTAAGCGCTCACATTTTCCCCAGCTAAACAGAGGAAGTCTGGCATGCTCACTCCTGGGCCACCTTGAGTCATGGACAAATTCCACACTTAATATTTTATGACATTCCTCCAAAGTGAAATGCTTATGTAGAGGCATATTAAAACATGTGTCTTCATTCAAGAAGAAAGAACAGACATGTTTTAAATGCTGAGAAATTGGGTGGTATTTACAAAGGAACACGGAACAAAGAGAATATTTTGGAATCTAAAAACTGTACTCACATCTAAATGTGATTATTTTTAAAATCCAATTTACCTTTTAGATTATTCTCATTGATCAGATTAGCTCAATAGTTACGGGTGTTATTTGGGGACAAAAATCTTCTGTCCGCTTTGGGGCAGATTTTCTATGGATAAGTATTATAAACTAGATATTCATCCATGGAACATCTCATTCATATTCATTTTTTTCCCCCTGACAGAGTTTATATTTGGGTTTTTACCATGTCCTTAAGGGTTTTCTTAAAAGAAACTAAAACTTAATTTTGAGAAAGGAAATTAAGAGATCAAAATCTTAATGATTGTATGATGAATTCTGCCCTTTCATTGATCAATTGAATCATTCATTCTTAAAATATATATTAAATGCCTCTCATGGGCCAAGCTCCATCTTGGTTCTGGGGTGACAATGGTAAGCAATAATTCACATGGTCCCTGAACCTGTGAATTTGATCTACCTTCTTCTTACGTTTATCTACCAATAGGGGCAGTCCAATTTTGAAGTACTACAACAACTGTGCAGACTTTGGTACTTGAAGATTTTATTTGCTGTTTAGGGATTACTAAATTCCTATTAGGTGGTTATTTGTTTCTTACCTTTGATTTACTTGACTGTGGAGAAAGGATAACATAATACCTAGGATATTCTATAGAATTACTGGAAAAACAACTACTTAATACTGAACAAGGGTTAGAAAAACAAAATGATGAATATAAAATGATGTACATTTAAAAAATATTGTGGGCAAATAAAGAAAAATGAAAACAAATGTGTCTTGCATAGAAGTTGGCTATATAATCAATGTTTACAGTAACCCTTACATTTCCTGGGGGCATAAATTTAAAGATGCTTTTGTTTTTGCCATTATGAACAGTGAAGAGCAGCTGATGTTGGAATGAATCTTAGGGGAGGACCTCAGTGCAATGGAGTAGAACCTATATTTCAGCTAAAACTGAGCAAAAGCTTTGTTGAGCACATTGACAGCCACTTATGCATTAAAAAGAAAAAATCGCAAGTGATTTTAAGCATGAAAGCGGATGACACTGTCACCCCACTTGATATACATGCTATTTTAAAAGATGTATCAGTAGCAGTGTGCATGAAAGTCAGAAGTGGGAAGGAACGAGATGGAAAAGGCAATTAGGGAGGCTTTCTCTAGGCACAATGCTGGTTATTTGACCTCGACTGGAGAAATTAGTAGCATTGGAAATAAAAAGTGTAGGACAGAAACGAGGCTAGTTTCAAAGGAAATGAAAAACAAACCAACACCCCCCCCCCAAAAAAAAAAAAAAAAACAAATCAAACAGCAGTTTAGAAAACAGAATTTCTTCCAGTGTGAAGTGCCTAAACCTCTGCATTGGGGATGATAACATGCTACTTACTGCTCTGGAGTCTGTGAGGGGCGACCAGACATGAAACTGCGACATTCCTCAGGGGCCGAGGACACCTGGCCTTTATCCACAATGCTTCCCGCCTCTGACCTATGCAGATGGGCACATTTCAACAATCACAACAGAACAAGACACCACCTCTTAATACTTCAGACCTTCTATGAAGCAAAACATCTGTTATACACATGCTACATACTTGTGTCACCATGAGTTTGTGTTATATAGAATTTATGACCTCATTCTGCCTTATTGCTTACCAATACCAGTATTATTGCAAACGGTCATTAACTGAAAGCAGGATTTTAAGTTTAGGAGTTTCTTTTAATCTTTGTAAATGGTATTTAGTATACAATAGGCATAAAACAAATGTACGTTTACTAGTAGGATAAACTACATACGGATACATAGCAATATGTCTTTTGCCACATTTAGAGTATCACTTAACTGATATGATGATAAAATCTCAGTAATCGCTTTTCCTTTCTAGCCATGTAGAAAAGTCTAAAACATACATAGATATTTTACCATATAGTGAAAACTTATGAAGTGAAGTTCAAGTATATGAAAGTGTGGAAACAAGTGAACTCTAATTCTCATATAGGTGGCAATATATTTAATAGTAACTCATCCCTTTTCCAAGCCACAGCTCAACCACATCAGTGATAGAACTTATTACCACCCCTGCATTGAAGATCTGCCACATCCAGAGCATATGGACAGTACAACTGAAGACAATATTCTACTCACACAAGCAAACACCCTTATTCAGAGAAATCCAGTGCCAACCTTTTACTGCCTGCAGGCTTAGGTTCCTGTTCATTCTCTTCTACTTTTTTCCCTGGTGCTAACTTCTCAGCACTGTCAAGCAAAGCACTAAGAGCCACTCTCCTGAAGACATTACCATGAGCTTCTTTTATGAACTGGACCAGCTGACGGATGTCACAATATAATCCCTGTTTGAAAACAAGAAGAGAGTTTGGGGGAAAAAAAGACAGTGGTATGATTAGTTTTCATAGAAAGAGAGGGAGAAGGCAATTCCTTAGGTTTAGACAAGCACTGGAATGATAAAGAAAGATAATTACCACTGTTGAAACTTACAGTATATTCCCTCAGCATTGCTCCTTTGGAACCTTACCAAGGACCTTGCCAGTCATTCTTAGCATGAAAAAGCATGGTTACTAAGCAAGATGCGTATTCAGGAGGTTGGCTGTATTATTAGAAAGACATCAATTTATATTTTTAGTCATTGGATTTATAAGCTTTTTGTCTCTCAACTTTAAAGAGATCCAAAGAAATGCCTGCAAATAAAAGGTAGTCAGAATTTGTTTAGAGATTTCAGTCCCTGCTCTGCTTCTTTAAATTTTCTGATTATGACAAAATGTTTATGTTCTCTAGATACTTCTAACAAAGCCTGATTAACCAAAACATGGTAAATTTTGTTGGACACATTAATCAAATAATATGTATGTTGTAGCCACTTTGAGTGTGTGAACTTGACTCTGAATTCAATACTATTAGAACTCAAATTTTGAGTTTAATTAAAACTCAGATATTGATAAATCAACTTTTAAAAACATATACAAGATTTTTATTAAGATATTAAGCTTTGCACCACCACCAACATTTCCTACCTCTCTCTTCCTTCTTTAAAATGTAGTTACTGTATTCTTTGCTTTAGGAAAGTTCATGGGAAAGCAGGTTGCAGAGGTGTTTAAAAAAATAACACACACACACTTTGATAGCTTTTGCTTTTATAAACCTAACACTGGTGGGAAATTTATACCTGTGATTTTTAGGAATGTAGAAGGCAGGAACCTTGAGGATAATAGAAAGAGCATGTATCCTTGGGGCTTGTGGGTATCAGGGCCCTATGCCCTTCACTCTGCTCTTTAGTAGCTCCTTTATGGAAGGTGCAAGACCCCCGCAAAAACAAGAGTTCCAAACAACAGACAATGCACAAATCCAAGCATGCAGTGGAGAGCACCATATGAAATAATAGCTGTAGACTAATAATTGAGATCTGGGTAGCCTCCAGTATTTGACTGGCCCTGGGAGGAGTCAAATACTAACCTTTTATAGCCTGATTCTCCTCCTCTCTACACTACTAGTGGCTTAAGTGGTTTAATTAACACTCTCCTTTAGGGAGATCTAATGTGATCTAAAATATCACAGGGCTCAATTAAAGAAAACAAAACAAATTTCAGTAGCATGTTTGCATTAATTTTTAAAGTAAGTATGGTTTCAAGTAATGCTTGGTATATCATCTTTTAGATTTCATGAACCAATAAACTGTGCTCTTGTACCTTCTTTTGAAGGACTCAAAATACCTTGCAACAATTTCACCAGACACTACAACCTTTGAGATGAACAATGAAAATACGTCAATCTGCAAATGAGATAATAAGATAAGGAAGAACAAGGAGAAGCAAGCATGGATAAGGCCCCACTGTGATTTACTGGGAACATTCAAGGAAATGATATCTCAGCATTAAGACTTCAACATCTCTTCCTCATGGCCACTATGTGAGCAATTTTCTCAGAGCAGAGGCTGACAGCTCCGTGGGAAGGAGAGGAGAGCTTCTCACCAGATTCTCAGGACTGTGCAGTTCGTGTGTGGTGGAGGCACAGCGGGTGATGAGGGATTTAAACATGGCACTGACGATAATGCCTTCCACGTTTTGGGCGGAGGATTTGTTGTCCACTGTGGTGAAGTTATTTCCAAACCCAGCCTTGTCTGGAAGGCAAAGGCACAAGTTAAAGGCAATATTTCCATGAAGCTCCACAAAATTGAGAGGGGCAAGGAAATACTCAGCACCCAGGAAATAGAGAAGGGCTACACAAAATCCAGGCACTAAGCCTTCAAGCTACTTCTTGTTCAATAATCTCTATGCAAACTTGGAAATAAAAGAATCAGAACCTCCTTTACATTCACTTCTATGACATGTACAACTGCATTTGTGAAGCATTTTGATTGATTTCTTAAAAAGTGGTTGCTTATTTAAAACTGACTCAAAACCTAAAGCCCACAACTGATCCCCTTTCCTTTGCTGTGTTCCTTTATAGAACACCAGGAATAGTCTGTTATCAGAACTGTTTTCAGCCAAGCATATTACAAGTTTGAAAAACAATGAAGTGAGGATTGTAGTTGAGATCTTTATGTCTTTTAATGTGATAATAAAATACTAAAGTCTGGGATACAACCAGGAAAAGTACTTCTAAATCCATCAAATGTCTTCATTCTAAATTAACCAACAATCATTTATATATGATATAAGCAATTGTAGCCTATATTAAGGTATTATTTCTTCCCAGACTTTAAACAAAATGTGTGTTTTACTTAACTCAGGCATCATGCATAACTTTCAGTTCACTGGTGCATTTGTATTCAAATGGTAGTGGAGATATTCAGTTTATTATGAGTGCAACTGGAATTCATTGATTTTGCCCTTTAACTTAGGTCTCTATATTGAAGTTTTCTTAAAATCATGAAGCTATAAAGTAGGTTGTAGGTCTATGTATGGATCCATTTGCTTGGTTTTTAAAAAGTAAGTCTATATGTATGTGTATATGTGTATGTCAAAGTTGCGTTATTATTGTGTTTACTATGACCACGTTTTTGGTTTTTTATTTTTCCTGTTTTATTGTGTGAAAAAAAATTGCCAAGCACCGTGTCTGACACATAATAGGTATTCATTTCATATTTATTGAACTAGCACATATGTTCCCTGTCTCTTGATTGCTGCCTCAGTTGCTATAAAAGAGCAGGTCATCTGAGACCAGGAGTATGAAGAGAGGTAGGATAAAGATGGCTAAGGTGAGGATGCCAAATGCTTTAGCAAATTCCTGCTCACTGAGGTGAGTTATCCTCTGAGGATAAAATCTGTCATCAAAGATTATATGCAAGCTTCTCTTGTTTATATATTCTTACACACACACACACACACACACAAACACATACACACACAAACACATACACACACACACACACATGCACATGTACCTTTTTTCTCTTAATCTTATTCCCACAAATTTAGTGTGCCCCTGAAACACTACCTGCTTCATCTTGCAGCGATTTCTCCTAGAACTCAGGTACAGCTTTACTTACTGTCAGTGACCGGCTCCATACAAAATCCTAGCAAAGCATGCAAGAAGTCCACTACATTATTCAGAGAGTCCTTGTTCACATAGTCCCTCATGGTTTGTCGGAATTGCATCTTATCTAGCTTGTATAGCTTAGTGAGGCAGTGCTGGGCCTGCAATGAAGGAAGAGAAGTGAAAAAGTCACAAGTACCAGCTTAAGCTACAGATGTCGTTAACCTGAGACAGAAGCCTTCAGAAGGCAAAGACTTCCATCCATCCCTATTTTCTGGTGCCAGCCAATCCTACCAGCTCCTCCTGTTTGAATAAGAAGTAGGCAGAGACAGACTGGGCAGTGCAAGGGGAAAAACCCAAAGCCAAAGTCTAATGCTGATCCCAGGGGGAGTTCAGTATTTACACTAAGATCAAGGCTTTAAGATCTTAATGAAAATAACTCAATGTGTAAAATTTAGGTAAGTGATAGAATTAACAATGCACACTTAGAAAAACTCAAAGTCTTTATGCAATGGGAAGAAGCATGCCACTGCCATGTCCAACACATTGAAATTAAGTAGATTTAATAGAGGAAGTGAGGCAAGAGGAGTAGGAAGTGAGTGTCCAGTGTGTTCCTACATGGCCCGGAGGAAAAAAATTCTTGAAACACTAACAGGTGAAAAACAAAATCCAATTTGTTTATTTATGTGTCTGCATTTGAATGTGAAAGTATGGTATTTCAAAAGAAGTTGACCTCATAGATGGGAAAACAAGTGACAACTGACTAGGTCCTGCTATTCACAATAGCTGTGTGTTTCTTATGGTCCAGCAAATAATTTTGCCACCTGGCAAAGGAAAAGGGAACAATTCTCAGCATTAAAACCAAAGAAGACACAGTCATTAACTGTTGAAGGTCAGCAGACAGAATGATCTGATATTGCCTGGATGCATTAGGGGTTAAAAAGAAAACTCCTATCCAAAAGAAAAAAACTATTTATGAGGAGCTTTGCTACTTAAAAAGCATTTCTTGCAATGTAAGTGCATCAAATTTGACTTTTGCTCCACCTTTATGATTCACCAAGTATCTCTTTATTACAGTTGAGACACAAAGAAGTCAAGGACTTTATCTATGTTGAAACTACAAATTCTACAGCAGATTCAAAACTGGAAGTCAGGGTCATCGTACCTCCTAGTAGTTATTTCTCCCGTGATACAGTACTGTCATTAAGAGTGATGTTTTTGAGGAAATATATTTAGATACCACCCACTGCCAAAAAGGATTTAAGATGATTGGTAATAGAAATCAAATTGGTATGTTGAAGAAGACTTCATCTGAACAAAAGAGATACGAGAATGTCCACAGCAATGGAATGAAATGGGAAAATGGCAGAAATCTTTTGGATGAGGGGAAAGAGCTAAGCATCTAGAAAGAAAGGGCAGCTGGGGGAGGACTGCCTTAATTGAGGATGGAGGATTTTACACAATCTGGTATAGGAATGGAAGTTAGATTAGGGAGGCAATTACTGAGAATCAGAATGGTGGGTTCTTTGTGGTAACCCAGAAGAAAATTTAAATCACATTACCATTTTGACAAATCAAGATTCAGGGAAAGATACTTAAAAAAAATTGAGAGGAAAAAACAGAGTATAAAAGAATGAAACTTGGATTTAGCTACAGACTTCTTGGTATGACCTTGTTATAATCACTCCATCTGTATCCTAGTCAGATGGTTTGGTATTTTTTTTTCATCCTCTCTTTACACTGTCCTAGAAGATTTGAAATTAGGTCTTTTTATTCCCAGAGAGTTTATTAGTTGCCAGATCTCAAATAGGCTCATTTATTTTTATTTTATTTTATTTATATAAAATACATGCTACTTGTTCTAAAATGAAGTTTACAAAACACTTAGGTAAAATGTTCTTCATGAAGAATTTAATTATCATTCCTTTAAGAATTTGAGAAGCTCTTCATTATATTAATTACAAAGTGCTTTTAAAAAATCCTAGATTGTAAAATCCTAAAGTTCAAGTGTTCCCCATTCTCTACAAAACACACCCAAAAGGCATAATTTCAAATCTACAATTTGGTGGCCCTTAGACTGTCTATATGGTCTTCCTGAGTTCAGTGGGAAGTTTAAGCAAGAATAAGATTCCCAAGCCTTAAATATTTTGATTGTGAATGAACAGACTAAATTTCTTCAAATGATGTAAAACTGATAGAGAATGAATTCCTTTCAATAACTTGGGACTATCAGCTAATGATCAAATTAATAATCTAAAAGGTATCAAGGAATCATGTGATGGAATTGCTAGGCACTTCAATAAATAACATTACAATAGTCTTCTGTTTTTACAAAAGAAAAATAACTCACAATACAAAGAGAAAAAAACAACTATAGAGTATCTAACCTGAGAAAAAGTGAAAGTATTCTTAACTTTTTAAAAGTTAGGTAACTTCTCAGTAAGGACTTATTGCTTTGGAGGGGGAAAGTAACAGCTGGAATTCCAATGGTAGAGAAATTCAGAAATATCTAACTTCTTGATCCACATATTTCCCAGGGAAATTTTCTCAAATTTTGTATCTTTTGGACAATGTGTTTACTAAACACGGGTAAGCACATATGATCTCTATAATGAGTATAGCATAAATCTACAAAATAATGGAAGAATTGCCCCATAAATCAAGTTGAAAAGCCAGATAGGGAACAGTCTGAATGCCTCATAGAAGCATTCAATACCTGGAGAGAGAAAAGCATGGCAGACAAGAAGTAACAAAGCTTCTTTTCTGATTCAGTTAGTCCTGCTTTCTGTTAATCCAGAGAGACAGGACACAGTTGTCCAAGGCAGTTTATATTAGAGAATGACACTTAGTATGTTTTAGCATTTAATTTCATGAAATTGGTCTTAGCATGAGAAGTAATGTGGTTTATTTAACCCTGAAGGGTTTTACTCATGCTGTGATAGAATTAAAAATCAAAGAATCACATAAGTATGTGCAAAGATGGAGGCAATATAAGCTTTCTAATGGCTTACTAGTTATTGTTTTAAATTTTTTTCTCACTTTAACCTCAAAAATCCATATCTTGGTCAAGATGTTCATGTTTCAAATTAATTATTTTGGTTGTTACTTCCCATATACACATTAAACTAAAATAACACAGCATAACAGAATATTTTTTTAAAAAATGGATAAATAGATAGGTGATAGAAGATACATTAAGCAAGAATTCAGCATGCCAATACTATGTGAACACCTCATGGCAAAACCTAATGCCAAGGAACACTGGTCCAGCATTAGATTTTGACATTATCCTAAAACTCTGCCAAGATATGCCAAAGGGTTTTCTGGACTCAGATTTGCATCCAATCTTTTCTTCTCTCTTTTTTTGTGAAAAGAATATTTTCTTAGAATTTCAATTCACATGTGAGGCAACTGCCTCAGCTCAGGCTTGCTATGAAGATGGATCATTGGTCAAGTCAGAATGAACAAGGCACAGTCAGGAGAGCTCACTGAAAATGAGCTGTAATGTTCCATTACGGAATTACACATGGCAAGCCCAAGGGCAGAGTTTCAAGTTTCACACAGTTCAAAGGGAAATGATCTCAAATATGTAGAAGTCGAGGTTCATTTTGAAGCAAAGCAGCCAGAAAACAACTGGCTACTTTTACAGTCCTGTTTTGTCCCAATAAGGGCCATTTTCCATATCTAAATAAGAACAACAAACTGAGTCTCAACTTTGACCCCTTTCTCTAATATGAAATATGCTTTTATAGTAGCCAGACAGATGATTGAAAATCATTTGTCGCAGGTCATCAGAAGCTTGCTAAATGTATTCATCTGTGCAAAGTTCTTCCAAACTGAAATTCACACATTCCAATCATCTTGCACCAATTGGTTTGTTGGTCTGCTCTAGGTAGGAGGCAGAAGTGTTTTACCAATTAAACTTTCCTAAGCCAGTTTTAGTTGTCGAGATATCTTGTTGGATTTCTCCCATCCCAAGATACCATTAAAATGCCCTATAAAATACAATATTTTTCAGGGAACACTGACCCTCATTGTCAAAGGACTCATTCCTCAACTGGAGGGAAGGAAGAGGGAGAGGAAATGGAATCTACTTTAATTCTCTTACATTCTCTCGGAATACCTGGTGTCTCAGACGATCTCCGGAGATCCCTCGGTGTCCTTCTCCGCAACCATAGGCACATCCCAAAGACTTCACTATTTTGATGAGCATGGTGAGAGCAAGCCTATGGTTGCTTACAGGTGTACTTTCATCCTGGTACCCATGATCAAGAAACAAAAAGAAGTCTACTTACTTTGCCACCGAACCACTATTGCTACGAAGATTCTATTTTACAATTAAATAAAGTCTGTACGTTTTACAATAAGCAACTGCCATTTGAGAAATAGAATTGTCCAGGGTTTAACAAACAAACTCACTTTTCTAAAATCTATTTCATGAATTAAAAGAAAATAATTTATGCATTTTGAATAGCCTCTGGTGCTAGAACATGAACACAGACCTTTTTCTTGGAAGATATCCTTCATATCCTTGACAGCCTATTGGAACGGCTACCGGGGTGGCGGGTGGGGATCATCAGCAATGAAGGCCAATGAATTTCCTTAGAAACTACCCTCATGAGCAGTCTTCTGATAATACCACCAGGTAAGGATTACTACTGAATTTCTTCAACTGGTCAAAGTCTAGAACTTTGAAATTTCATGGCAATTTCTGCTATTTTTGAAGGATTTTTTCCAATTGTTTCACTATATTATAATTCACATGCATAAGAAAAGCAAGAATATGCAGAACTTTATAAGCATTCAGATTGATTCTCCCCTTGAGGGTCAATTGGGAGCCCTCCTAAGATGAATAATGAAAATCATTTTCATCCACTTTTTTGTCTCTTTAATCCTTACTGTGAGTGGAGAACATGATGTCCAAAAAAGGAACTTCCTTGAATCATTTCCAAAGAAGCATAAGGACGCTGTTGCTAAGGGATGATGCTGAGCCCAGTGTGGGGGAGTCATTACCTTTGGGAAGCAGCAACCTGCCTCTATCATCCTAGCTACATTTAGAGTAAGCACATTCATTGAGGACTTGGGATTCCAGCTCCTGATCCTTAATCGCGTGTAACATTAGATAAGTTAACTAATCCCTTTTTTTGTTTCCTCACCTGTGAATTAAGCACCCTAATAACTGCCCTTCCTACTTCACAGGTTTGCTGTGTAAAGCAAATGATATAATGGTGACCACTGCTCAACAACATAAGGGATTTTCATGTTAGTTACATGAACAGGTTGACAGATAAACTTTTGGGCTACACATAGAAAGAATACTCCAATGGAGGTAGGGTGTAAAAGAAAGGGCTAGGGATTTATACAGAAATTATTATCTGCCTTGATGTGATAGTGTAGATACTCTCCCCCCCCCATGCTATGTAGTTGGCCCTCCTTTTCTTATCCATAAACTTATCCATAAACTCATGTAGTGAATGCAGTGCTGGACCCCAGAATTTCTCCCGTCAGGAATAAAACATTCATTCTCTGAGTTGTTGGAAGTGTTGATGGCTGAAAATCCTCAGCTGACTGCCTCTGCTGGAGAGCTGCCTCCGCCAACCAACCAACTTTACAGTATTTTCCAGGAGACAGACTACCTCCAATGACAGGTCAGTGGCAGAAGAGTGGTAAAGGCACTCCTTGCTTCACCTAAGAACTGCTTTGAAGAGTCATCTCAGCTCCAGATATATTTACAATTAAGATGTCATTTTTAGTTTGGATGAAATCTTCCCTGCAAGATTTGATAATTGTATAACTTTGGGCAAACTACTCAGTGTCCTACAAAATAGCAATAATATAATAATCTCATAAGTCACAAAAGTAAAAATATGTAATGTCCATAATAATAGCAAAACAAATGTTAACTATTATTTCTAGGTCTAGGACACTGCTATTGTATGAGGCACCTTTATGCAAATTAGAAACACGCCTCTCTTGGTGGATGAGTTGGAAATAGCCAAGCCTCTGGGTGGATGCAGTGCTTGGATGTGAAGCTCTGTGAGCAGAGCTTGTACTGGATTTCATTCCTCACCAGTTCCCACAGTCAAGATTTTTTGGATAATATGTGGACAACAGAGTCATATAGTAGTGTCTCAGAAAAGATCACCCCAAGCAAGGGCTTATTTGGAAGATTGGTTTACATATATTTTTAAATTATTATATGTCCCTTTAAAAATTCTCTAACCCTGAAAACCCTTTGTAAGGATGGATTTAGTTTTTTATTCTTTAGACCTTCAGGTGTCCTTGGGATTTAAGTTTCTTTCATAGAGGATATTCAGAAACATGTATCAAACTACAGGCAGAAACCAGAGTACTAAATAATATTTCAACTTCTCAGTATAAGCTAGTGGCCAAAATGGAAATAGAAATTAGATCTTCCTTTCTGTCTTAATCAATTTCCCACGTTTCTGATATTAGTGGGGCTGAAAAATTAGATAAACTTTCTGATTCCACTGAAAAGAAAAGATGTTTTTAGGGAAGAACAGACCTTTATGAATCATAAACACAAGCCACTTGACCTAGCATCACATTTTATTTTATAAATTCTTTGTCCTAAAAAGAATATCATTTTGAAAACTAACTACAAAACAATTGAATCTTGGTTGCTCTTTTAGAGACCACATTATCTCTTTTTAAAATCATCCATACTGATCAAAAGTGATAATTTTGGTCAAAATAACATTTATAGCACCAAGCTATAGTATCTAAAATAATATCTAGGTATACTCTATGATTAAGGCAGAAGAAGAAAATCCTAAAGATAAGGCTAAGGAATCCAAGAATATTGAAGCAGGAATATTTGGATCAGAATATTGGGAAGATAAATCATGAATATTGGGAAGATAAAAGTAAGCCATGAAATAAAGAAACACAGACGATAAATGTGCATTAATTATGTAGTAGGTGGGAGTAGAAAGAAAGAAGAAATTTTTATAATTTCTGCAATCCTCATTTGGATGTAAAAATTTAACACCCTATGGAGAAAAATGGACAATTTATAGTTCATATTATGTCTGTAGATGTTAAAACTCTATATAGTATAATCTTTCACTTGTAAACACTTGACATGATATGCGAGTCTTACCTGTTAGAGATTCAAATCTCTTGTTGGTTTCAATTTCTGAACAGCACATTCCAGCTACAACCTCAAATCAGTGTGAGTTATGTGAATTTAAGCTGTGGTAATTTGTATTTGAAACTCAAGAAGGAAAAAATGAATTCTTGTTGTTAAATGCAGAGTTCATAGCGAGGTTTTGCCAAGGCAGAGGGAAAGAAATTCAGGAACAATCAATAATAGGAAGGCAAAACCTTCTGGGAGGTGACACACTGAGACACAAGGGAACTGAGGCTAGAATAGTTGTTGCCATGCCAAACCAATATCAAATAAATCAACCAACTAATCAAGCACCATTCTTCTCTTGCTTTCCCCTTAACTATGGCTAAAGTTGTCTGCCAAAAATATGTTATATAAATACTTTATTTAGAAAGTCCACACTGCTTCTTATGGACTGGGTATTTGTGTCCTCCTGAAATCTGTATATTGAAATCTTAAACTCTAATCTGATTATATTTGCAGATGGGCCCTTGGGAATTAATTAAAATTAAATAAGGTCAGATACTGGGACCTGGGTCCAAAGCGATTAGGCTGTCTTCCTGCACATGCACAAAGTGGAGGCTGTGTGAGCACACAGCAATGGTGGTCACCTACAAGTCAAGCAAAAGGCCTCACATTAAACCCACCCAGCTGGCAACTTGACCTTGGACTTCCCAACCTTTAGAACTGTGAGGAGTAAATTTCTGTTGACTAGGCCATCCAAACTATAGTATTTTCTTATTGCAGCATGAGTGGACTAAAATACTACTCAATTTATACCACAAACGTCTCAAGAAAGAGGCTATCCATCCTTAGTGGCCCACTGAGAATTATGGAAATGGAATGCATCTGAGGTGTTCTATTGCAGAAATAACCTAACCAGAAAATTCATTCTAACAAAGCATAAATGACGGACGATATGTGTGGATTCAGAACACTGTTCAATCTGTTTCTACTCATGCCTGCTAAAAACCTAATTAAGATATTTCTACATTCAGTACTTTCTTACTCTAGTGATTAGTTGCTGCTCTGAGTCAATAAATTGCTAGCAAGCCAGCATTGGGAAGAAATTCAGAGCAATATTTCATGAGGACACAGAAGGTGGTTCAGTCATACCTTCTCTTGATTCTTATCATTCTTCTCATAAGGGCCTCCTCCACCTCCTCCACCTCCTCCTCCATCACCTCCTCCACCTCCTCCATCACCACCTCCTCCTTCTTCTCCTCCACCATCTCCAGCTCCACTAATGGAAGGGCCCCCAAATCCACAGGTAGAACTTCCAGATACTCCTTTGAACTGGAAAGTTCCTTCACTTGGTCTCTTTTCCACAGTCTCATTTTCCTTGTTTTCACTCTTCTTTCTGTTCTTTTCTACACATGGTACTACACCAAGTTGAAGCAAGCATTCCACAATGTTTAGTGCCACATCACAGATGCGAGAGCTGATGTCATGGTTAAGGACAAGATAAACAGCCTTCAGAACCACCTGCAGAGGACAAAGATAAACAGGACAATTAAGTTACCTCTTCCTAAATAGATTTAGTTATTCTGTTTAACTAGTTATTCTTCTTCTGTGCTATGTGCATAAATCAGACAATTTTCAGATTTTCTTATCTAAGCTGCATGGGGACCTTGTATACGTGCTTAATATAGACTTTATATCACCTAGAGAATTAAAATCATGTATTTTCTCAGTTAAGTCTCTCCAAACTTCCCATGATATGTACAGTTAATAGGGATATTGAAGCATAGTGAATTAATGGGACACTAATTACTCAAGTGGAAACTTGTATGACTGATATTTAAAATCAGGGTGTTTCAATTCTTTTCACTTTCCACAAATAATGAATAAAGAAGAATAACATATTTATGCTCATAATAAAGCAATACTTGCTTATTCACAATTGTATCATTATTTACCCTTCAACTTCAAATGTATAATATTTGCATTTTTAAATTATGCCCCTTTATTGATTTTAATATTTTAAATTATTTGCTAGGCCAGGTTCCCTGATGTGCAATAATAATGTTTGTGAAACATAATTATAAAATATAGCAACCCTTTCATTTGCTAATAACTATACTCAAGGAAAGCATTCTTCAGAATGCAAGTCTAAATAGTTTAAGGACTTCCATTCATTTTTTCTGACTACACAGGAGGTTTGTAGTCTTGTTGCTTATATAACCAAATGAAATAAATGAGCTTCTTACTCTTTTTCTGGGAAAAAAAAGAGGTTTAGAAAACACACAAATATATATTTATGTTTAGGATTCACTAAGTTTTTAGAATTATAAACATATTCTTAGATCAGATCAAATATAATGTAATGCCTAGGGAAAAACAAAAGGTTCATCTATGATGGTTGACACATTTAAGAATTTTTTTTATGTGGGTAGTTTTTTCATTTTAAGATTCAATACTTCTAAGAATCTCTATGCCCTTTTACCCAATCTTGTGAATATTGGATTTAAAGAATCAATATCTTTCTGGCCTTCATAAGAAAAATTCTTGTTCCTTACGGAAAGATCAAGCATGCCATTCTTGTGGACAAAGTTGTTGGTCCCATCGATATGCTCTGTGTCTTCCAGGTAGCTGTAATTGATGCAGGAGTCTGTGAGGCTGCGAGGCAGGTTAGCACAGGCCAGAGGTTCGTGAGGCATCTCTGGGATAGGCACTTGGTTGCAGAGCTTCCTCATATGCTCGTTGAAAAAGTCTGCGTAGCCTACGTTGAATGATGCCAATGTGGTATTGAAGGTTGCTACTGTGATAGTGGAGATCTGGGATCGCACTAATGATACAAAAGAAACATCTTAGTTTTCCTCATATTCACCTGCTATATCAGTTAGATAGTTATGCTATTATTTAAATTATGACCATGATCAGGGCTGTAGCTTTTGTAGATATATGACTTACAGTCTCAAATCTATCCTGAACTCCCATGGAACTCCTGAAGCTGTAAGTCCAAGTAATATTGATAATTAATGGAGGCTATAGAAAAACTAAATTGCAACTGGCTTCCTTTAGCTGAAGCTAGGATTTACCTTTTGTTAATGCTGACTTAGTTCACTTGATCATAACAGGTAGATTTTACACATTGTTAGATGACAAACCATATTAACAAAAACTAGTTTAACTGAACTATTTTCCCATAAGTTATGGAAGTTAAATATCTTATTTTGATCTGGTGTATTAAAAAAAAAACCAAGATGGAATTTTTCTTCTCTGGTTAAAGTAATAGAATGTAAATTTATAACGAATAGATACTTGAAGTACAGTTCAAAGAAAAGAGGGATTAAATTTGTGTTCCTATGAGAGCATAAGAATAAGAACAAGAATAAATTATTCTGTTAAGAGTAAAGAAAAAGAGCCTGCCTTAGATTCCATCCAGAAACACATTCAATTTGTGGAAAGCCCATAAATCGCTTCTCTGAAATAGAATCTGTGTGAAAAGACATTGGTGGCCCTGGAAGGCAATGACTTTCTTCCCATGGAAGGTGTAATCCTTCCGAAGCATGTCACAGAGGAAACTAAAGCACTAAATGCTTTGCAAGATGCCCTTTAGCCCTATGGGTCTGTGATCTTTTGAGATGAGTGGCTCATCTTTGCTCTTCCTCTAAAGGTCTGGTGGTCTCAGTCTAGTCAAAAAGCTCTTCACTAAGAATGGCTAAACATTAAATTACCAAGTGATAACACAAGAATGGAAGTTTTCAAAGAACATAAGTAAGTGGAGTACAATGAAAATGGAACCTGCGGTAAGCAGAGAGACTAAGAAACCTAAACTCCTGCCCCCAGCCCTGCCTGGGACCCACCTTCCTTGACTGTGTTTTCTCCGTGGCTGTTGGAGGGGTCAGGCAGGTCGCTCACCAGAGTGTGGTGGGAGTGGGAGTGCCTGGCGCTCAGGCTCTCCATCTCAGTAGCTGCATCTGAACTGCCCCGCCGCGTCAGCTTCCCTGAAGTGGACAAGAGCATCACAAGGGGTTTTTAAAATCTGAAAGGTTCTCTGCTGAGATTTTTGTCTTTCCTACGGACAGCAGTGAGAGTGAGGGGGTATTAGGAATAGCAGAAGGCCCAGCCAAAATAGCAAGAATTGAACTTGCCTGGGGTATAGTCAAGGTCAATATGATTGATGGAACTGCCTGTGATAAGGTCAGCCCCAATCTAAGCCAAATGTCAGAAACCATCTGTTGTGGACCTGCTAACTGTCAGCTCCTGGTTTTAAGCTGGCTGTCTTAATATGCCAACCCAAACAGAAAAATTTTTTTCCTTTGCTGCACTTATTCCTTTATTAAATAACAGAGTTAAATAAAGGTCTGTCTTTAGATTAACCAATGAAAGTTAAGGCACAGAACCCTCTAGGGCCATGTTTCTGAATCTAAGAAATAGGGCCTTTAACCTGGCTAATTACACAGAATTCTTACATAATTACTTATTTGCATTTGTTTGGCTGTGAAAATACAGCATTATTTCAGTTACTGGGGAACCTTCAGTTAGGACCAAATTTCTTGGCTGAATTAATTGTCCAAGAAAGACCCAGACTTTCCAGGGAGCCACAGGTCAAGATTCCTAAATAGGTCACTCAAGCTCTGCCCTACTTCAAAAGGTCTTTTGTGATCACCTAAAATGGTGGTTGGCCAGCCTCCTTTTTCGATGCCTCGCCTGTCTTCTCCAAGCCCAGAGAAACTTCCAAAGGAGAATGTGCTACGAGTGGGGGACACATCCAGGTGGTCCTCATGAAGCAGGAATGGCACACCCATTCTTCGGGGCCTCCTCTTCCCAGTGTGGTGGAATGGAATGGAGCCTTTCCTCTCTCGGTCTTCTTTACGGCTCTTGAACTGCAATGGTAAGATATGAATAGTCAGGCACAGGGCAAAGGAAAGGTTGTAGTTTACTTCTCAAAGGGCTCCATATCCTTGAGTAGTAAAACACAAGCATAGGGAATCCAGGAAGTCATTGGATGTCATCCAACAGAAATGGGTGAAATTTCCCTAATTTGTTAAAAGAGAAAAAGAAACTAAGCAAAGGGCCACACATTTCACAGGTCTTTCTGATTGGTGGATTAGAGGAGTGTTCTCAAAGTCTGATCCCTGGACCAGCAGCATCAGCATCATGTGGGAACCTGCTTGAAAGGCACTTTCTCCAATGCATCCCCAGATGTATTGCATCAGAAACTCAAAAGGTGAGGTCTAGCAATGTGTTTCAACATGCCTCATAAGTGATTCTAATGTACACTAAAATTTGAGAATCACTGGATTAGAATATAGGATTCCTGGTCACTTGGACCAGGCTGTCCCTTTTTCAAAACTGAAATTCATTATTTTGGTCAACCAACTTCGAATATGTGCAACTGCTCACAGGATATAGTCAAAGATGATCCAGAGGAAACATTGATACAAACCCATTATTCCTACAAAATAGTTCAAGATCAAGTGTAATTAGGAGTTTAGAATTGTCTAGATAACTTGTCTCATATACCAGCGCCTGAGCCTATCTTTAGCAATTCTGATATAATTGGTCTGGGATGTGGTCTAGGCACTTATCTTTTTATAAAAGCTCCTTAAAACTTCTATATGCAGCCAAGATTGAAAAATCTCTTTTTTTTCCTCTTAAATGAGGACTGGTTTTTAAAAAATGATGGCCATTGCCTATTGTTTCATTTTTAATGAATGCAGTCATGACAAGCTGGACTCATAGATTAGTTAATATGTGTTATATTATTCATGAACATAATTCAGTTAATAATTTTAAAAGCAAATTATTTTCAAAATCAAAGATAAAAAGACTCTTACTTATGTGTGTGTGCGTGTGTGTGTATACACACACACATGTACCTGTGAGTCTATACATATTATTTTCTATGCAATTAGTGCCATATATTTATTTAAAAAAAGAGACAGTCTGGTGGGTTCAGGAGAGCATAGAAGTATTTAGCTAAAGATCTACTTTCAGATTTGGGTTCACTCTTTGGTGAACTATCTAGTTTCTAAGGGTCAAATTCTTCTCTGGAAAACAGGTAGAATAAAGAATTTCATTGGATTATGTGAAAACTCTTTATGTAAAATACTTGATGAAATGAGTTGGACCACACAAATGTAAGTTATCAGTTTACTACTACAACTACCTCTACTACCCCAATGCATTATCAGGACTGAGCTTCCCACAACCCTATGGAACTCTGAGAGTAGGAAGCACACTCATACTAATAGAGAGACTTACAAAGGCCTATAGGGTTATGCTATGTCATAGTCAGTGTTGTAACCACCCCATACTGTAACATAATTAGAAAGAAGTACCTCATGCCCCACTGAATTTAATTACTAAAATATCAAAAGGTATAAATGATCCTACTCACCTTTTTAAAAATGTTCATGCCCAGGTCTGAAGAAAGATCTGGTACTGCAGACCTTCGGAGATTGGTCAATGAAACCTTGGAAAAGGCCTCAGGGCTAAGAGATTTTTCTTCTTCATTACACTTCATGGTGAGATCCTTAACATGCAATAAAATAGACAATGATCAAGAACGTAGGGCTGTTATCCAAGTATTTTGTTACTGATATGTCACATTTTTTAATAGAAATACACCTACTGTTTTGATATCTATGAAGTATCTAACTTGCATGTCTGGACTTTCAAAATCCAAATTCTACAACCTCAAAGAAGTATTTCATACTAAATTCTGTTTGTAATTTTCAGCACTGAGGCCATGTAACCCCAGAGAAAATAGAAAATAGATATCTCTCTTTCTTTTTTAGTTAAAAATATAATTTTTCCAGGGGCTGGGATTGTAGCTTAATTGGTAGAGCATTTGTCTTGTATGTGTGAGGCACTGGGTTCAATCCTCAGGACCACCTTAAAAAAATAAATTAAATAAAGGTATTGTGTCTATCTACAACTAAAAAAAAAATTTAAATATTTTTCTATTTAAAAATTCATTAAAGGAAATTATTACTTTGGACAGAATACTACTAATAAAGCAGAGCATATTTCTTTTCCACTCTGATATTGCTTATGTATATTTTCACAATATGCAGAAAAGAATTTTAAGCCCCAAAACTGTAAAACCCTGAAAGTCAGGTTTTTCTCTATATTTTCAACATACAGCGTTGATGAGAAAGAGAGGAAGAACAAGATTCAACTTATATTAGGCAGTTGTTCATCAGAAAGCAATTTTCATGGGGATGTCACCACATTAGTATACACTCAGTTTATTTCTCCAGACATTTATAATAAATAGCAAGACTATATATCAATAAACAATATTTCTAATGATGATACTGAAATACTGAAAATTTTTGAATTATGCCAAATCAGTAAAATGGTGGCATCCCATATTTTATGATATTGGTAACTGACAGATGACGTGTCAGAAGTCTTTATTACCTACTTTGACTACTCAGAAGACCTCATTTTCACCATTCTGGATAAACTAAGACTTACACTACCATAGCATGTGTAAGAGATGCACTTCTTTTAATGGTAAACAAGAACTAAACAACAGCAAAAAAGTCCAGCGATAAAAGATGGAAGGGAAAGGATAATGATAACCGAGGAATCCACCAATCAGACAGCACTGGATGCACAGAAGAAAGAGAGAGCATGTTATGGCCAGCGTTGTCAGTTCAAATTACAATGGACAGAGTGTCTTACTTGGGTTTTGTGAGTGTTCACTAGTGAGGGTGCTGCCGCCACCATTGAGCTACTCCTGGGTCTGGGCAGGAGAGGAATATCTGGCTCTGGAGCCTTCTCTGGCTTCTCTTCCAACATATGCCGCAGCCTTTGTAGATAGTACATCAGAGACCACTGGGTGCCTTCTTCAGACCAGTGGGGCTGGAGTAGGCAGCGGAGAACAGCAACATCAAAGTAGGTGGCATAGCGGGATCTTTGGCATGGAGGTATCACCAGAGAGGCCCTGCTCCCCAAAGTGAAAAGAAGACAATTACCCTGGCAGTCAAGCCTTCCAAGGGGGCAGCGCGACATGGCTTATAGCTCTACTTTTCTCATTTTTTCATTTATTCATTTGTTTATCTGTTGTTTGATTTGTTTGAAAATCCTAACTGGTTTTACTCATTTTGCTTTTGCTAACCATTTCTTTGAAACATAAACATTGAAAGAGTTTTGAAGAATGGGTAGAAATTAGCCAGGCAAAGTTGAGGTTGGGGCAGGAAAGTAAATCAGCATTTCCACTAGAACAATGCTTGCAAATGTTGTTCAGATTTTTAAAAATCATGAGTTTGGAGAGGGAGAATTCATAAGCGATTAGTTAGTTGGTGAGTAATTTGGGTGGTAGGTAATGATGAGAGTCAGAGCTATAGAAATAGTTTGTGTCAAGATGTTTCTTTTCTGCTAAGCTATGAGGTTTAACTCCAGTAGAAACAGGAATGATGTTTGTCCTGTATACTACACTGGGCTATTTTAATTTCAGTTGTGAAAATATTATGTAAAAGAAAAAGAAACTGCAAATGCTAAACACAATTTTACTACGAGAAAATGAGATTATTTTGAAAATTCTTAGGTTATGTATCTATGTAAGATAGCAAAACAAATTTAAAAAAACAACACAAGTTTCTGAAATTTTATTATTCAATTTAAAACTTGATATATTCATTACTTAGTGTTCAATTTACTCCTAATTAAAAATAGATTCAAATGATTACTCAGCATAACACAGCAATATAAGCATGGTAGATGCAATGAACTACATGTTTGTGGCTCTCAAAATTTGTATTTTGAAATCCCAACTTCCAATGTGATGGTATTAGAAGGCGATGCCTTTGGAATTTGGAAAAGTAATTAAGTCAGGAGGGTAAAGTGCTCCCCTTATTAAAAAAAAAAAAAGACATACATAGCTTTCTTGTTTTCTTTCTATCATGCAATGAAAAGACAGTTCTGAATCAGAACCCAACTGTACTGCCACCATGATCTGAGACTGTCAGCTTCCAGAACTGTGAGAAATAAATTTCTATTGTGGATAAGCCACCCACATTAAGGTTCTTTGTTACAGCAACCCAAACTGACTAAGGCATTAGTGGGTATGTAGGACCATCCTGGGAAGCATATGATCCAGTCAGAATGACAGACAATAAATGACAAAATATAAACAGAATTTCTGGGATCCAAGATGGCATCTGGGTTCTAAAATCTAAACTTAATCACCAAGGACTTCCTTCTGAGCCATGTGATGCAGAAGGAAATTTTTGTACCTTTACCTCAACTAACAAATGTCACTATCTACACATGAAGACCTCTTCCCAAAAATGCAACCACTGAGAGCAAGAATGAGAGAGTTTCCTAAATTTCTCAGATCTATCTGTATTTTGAATTGAAGATATTATGGTTTGGATCTAGAAACGTCCCCTGAAAAGCTCATGTTTTAAAAGCATGATCCCCAAAGCAGCAAGGTTCAGAGGTGGGGTTTTTAGGGAATGATTAGATTATGAGATCTATAACCTCATCAGTGGATTCATCCATTTGATGGATTAATAATTTGAATAGGCTACTGGGTGTTAACTGAAAGCAAGTGGAGGTGTGGTTGAAGAAGGCAGGTTACTGGGAGTGTAGCCCCTTCACTCCTTTCTGACTACCACAAGCTGAGCAGCTTTTCTCTACCACACCTTTCCACCATGATGTTCTGCCTCATCTCAGGCCCAGAGTGATGGAGTTGGCTGACAATGGACATGGACTGAGGCTTCTGAAACTATGAGCCCCAAATAAACTTTTCCTCCTTTAGGTTGTCTTTGTCAAGTATTTTTGTCACAGCAACGAAAAGGTGACTAATACAAATCATTAATGTTTCAAGAAATTAATTTGATAGGACACGGGTATTATGAACCTTCTAATTACAAAAAAAAAAACAAACAAACAAACTATGGAGTAAAGACTTGTATGTGTGGTGAAATTTTTGTTTCACTTCACACATTTGTCAAGCGTAATTTAGTCAGATATATTTCTTACTGTGTGTTGCAGTACAAAGTTAAAGAAAAATACAGTCCTGGACCATTGTTATCTTTGTTATCTAAAGCATTGTTATCTTCATAGCCTTTCTAGTTTCCTATTGAAGCATGCCATATTTGTTATTTCTATTCTTATTAATAGAATTGTCTGGTGTGTTGAATGACAACTGCCAATATATACAATGGTTTTGAATTTCAATGTGATCTTATAGTTTAACATTCTTAAATATTTTAATTGACAACTAGGGAACTAAATATAAATTCAAATTCAATCACGTAAGATGCTGCAATACTAAATTTTTAGCTGGATTGGCAGTCATATTGAAGAGGCTTACTACAATACCCCAAATTCTCATACATGTAATACCAGAATTTATCTTTTTTGCAGAAAGCTAGAATATTCTGTGAATACTGGTTTTGTGCCAACTTTGAATACATTATAGTCTCCCACAGATTCCCTATCCACCACTTCTCATCAGCTCTATCTGGATACCACTTGTCTCAGTCACCAACATCTCTCATCAGGTAGATTGTAATTACTTCCTACAAGTCTTGTTGCTTCTCTTACTTCTCCACTGTTGCTCAACTGCTTCCAACAGGCAATCCAATCAACCTCAGAATAAGATTTGAGCTCTTTACAGTTGTCAACAAGACCTGTATAAGCTGGATGTGCTTACCATGTTTGTTCTGATAGGCCAGTTATCAATTATTGTCTTTCAGGTTAAATTTACCTTTTATTTTTTTAAATAAAGCTCCTGTTTTAATATCTTCTCAAATTCTCCAGCATGCTACTTGTTTCTTTCTGAGACTTTGACTGATTACACCTCTAGAAGAACCTTCCTTCTCCTTTCTACCTATTTCCTAAGAGGCTTTCTTTATGCTCCCTTTCCCCGACCCCATTCCATTTCTCTTTCTTAATGAAGCATGACCTCCTCTAAGCTTATCATTTGTACCTGAGATAATATGAATCCTCTCTTTTTTAGTGTTATACTTTTGGATTTATAAAGAAAAGACAAAGCTGGCTACCAGCTGTGTAATTTTAGGTCCTCAAGTCTTCATGACAATCATGTGACTTATGAGAGCCTGTGAAAACCATTATTTTCTTGACAAGATTTCTGTAATGAAGGCAGATATTAGCAGTTTTACAGAATTATTTCCCCCTTCAGACTTGCAGTAGTTATTTACTCTTTACTTTCTGCCCCAATTATTTTGTTACCAAATTAGATTATGGAATACCATAAATTCTTTCAAATCCCTAGAGCACTATTCCACATAAGATGCCAGTGGACCCTTCCATTGGAACCTCAAGGTGGATGGGAAGAAAAGAGGCTGTTAAAAACACAGACACTCACATTTTTAACAGCCTTTTTATTTTTTTTTCACCCAAGACTTCTAAACCAGCACCTCTGAGGTTGGGTCCCAGGAATCTTTTTTATCTTAAATATTAACCTTGGGTATTCCTTAAGTATTCTAAATAATATTGAATGACAATTGCCCTAAAAAATATGTAGTTCACGATTTCTATACTTTTAGGCCAACATCCAAAATGATTCGTATTTGGAAGCTCCATAACTGGAATGGTATGTTGACAATTTCATTCCTGAGGGCACCAGATGACTAAACCTATATCTTTCCCTACGTACAAAGCTTATTTGACTGAAAATATTACTAACTGTACAGTGAAGTCCCATAGGCATTAACTACTTTCCAACAAAGCTTGTCAGTTCATCTGGCGATGGAATGCAGAACAGCAAGACTCCATGAACTCAAGGATGTAATCAGAGACAAAGAACATGTTATATAACTATGTAATCAAAACTTGCTAAATAAATTCACATTTCAATTGTTTAATATTGAAAGAGACTCAATTTGAAACAAACTAAGACTTTCTGTAGCAATTATTTACAACTTGAAGTAACTCTGTTTAAAGTGTTATTCAAGCACTAGTTTATTTGACTTAAAGTGTGAGTTGTACTAGTTGGAATAGTCACTAAAAAGCAAAAATGATTACTAAATATTTAGTAATCATTTAGGGTAGCATTGTCAGATGTAATTAACTGTTCTTTAACTGATAAATAATTTAAATTAACTAACTAATTAACATAAGAGTTGAAAATTTACATAACTGCTAAAAACAGTATGGGGAAAACTCATTGTATGAGATGACAGAAAAGTCCTTTCCTATTCTGATATTCTATGACACTATATGACTCAGTAGAAAAAAATAAAAAAGTGAAAATTTTATAAAGAATATGAACACAACTTTTCTTCTAAATGGTACATATAAAAATAATGAAGATAAACACACATACAAAAAGTTAATAATGTGTATTATTAACACATTATTAATGTGGACTTGTGGATGGATTTTACTTTCAATATTTTATACATTTAAGTGATTATCCATAATTAGATTCATAAAAATTTATATACATATACTAAATAGTACATTATGGTGAAAAGAGATTTTCAAAACAGGTAAGAATTGCTTTCATCTATTTTCCAAGCACTATGGCTTTGGGAAACCAAGTTAATATTAATGAATGCTGGAAGATAATAGTAGAGAGCTTAGACGGCAAATAAGTACTCTGGAAATAATAGAGGATCTGTGGAGGCAGAGAACTCTGAAATCAGTCTTGACCCTATGCAGAATTTAATGAAGCATAAATTAAATCTATGCATATGGTAATTAAAGATGAAATCTCACATTAATTTAAAAGATTAGCTACCTGTTCACTGATGGCAGAGTGCAGGGAAGAGTGATCCTCAGTTCAATCAAGGTCAAAGCAAAAGACATGATGAATTGGATTTGTTTGATAAAAGCAAACTGCTTTTGTTGCTAGGATATTTGCTCCACTTTGTTATTAAAGTTTTCTCCATGTCTGATTAATACAGGATCTCCCCCAATGAGGGCACTTCTGAAAGGTCTATCTTGTGCATAGTCATGTCCATGGCAACC